AAGTTAGCCCAGACCTAAGACAGTGCTGGCTATGTTCACTGACTTCTGGTTGGCTCAGCATGGGGACAGAGACAACTTGCACCTTTACAAGCCTGTTTATTATTTAAAGAACCTCTATTAACCTTTGCTAGCAGAATTAAGCATCTTCAATTACACTGAATTAATTTTCAAATGAACGTACACATCCACTGTGGCTTGTAGGACTCCTAGTATGAGGGAGCAAAGACTCTGCAACCTCTCTGTGCCATCCATATTATTACTTGATGTGAAAGTTGTACTGTTGTTATTACTAAGGCATGTCCCCAATGTGTCTCTTATTATCTTGCCATTTGTGATGCCTGAGGTTGGCTTATCCTAGTTAGAGTTCTGATGTAGAGGAGCTGAATTGCCAACTCATATGGAAGTTTGTACTCACTGTGGGTTGACTTATCCTATCAAATTCCTGTCACAGATTACTGTGGCTCTGCTCCACAAAGACTGACATGGCCCCATTGTTGGCAATTCTTCTTTCTGCAATAAAATATATAAAAAATATTGTTCATATTATTTAAAAAGACTATTTTTAAAGCTTTAAAAAGTAGTTAAAATCATGTCTGAATGCTAGAAAGACAAGGGAAAACACATATGATACTGCTCATTCTTTGTATAATTATTTTTCATTCAAGAATGTCCTGATGGGGATGTGCTTTTACATATTTAGGGACCCTTAGAGGTTTTCTTCTCCACGTGCTTTTGAGGCCCCCCCTCTTTAGCCTATGTAAGCTCTTTGTGTCCACCCCATCCTCCAGCAATGCCTTCCATAGGCCTCCAAGCCATTTCAGGAATAATTGTGTCCTTTTTTTTGCTTTGAACTCTGATCTCCTGACTTGCTACCCTGTGTTCTTACATGAGCATTGATGGTGAACCTCTTGGCTTTCCTCCTTCTTCCTTTATTCAGCTGGTTGCTTTTAGGACTTTAAAACCATGTATTTTGTCTTCTCGTTGATGGTAAAACCAACCCCTTGCAACATCCATGGAAAGATGGGCATCATGGTGTTGATCAGACCAAATAATTCTTTCAACTGCATTTTATCATTTGTCCCCAGAATTTGCCAGTCCCCTTCTTCAGCTTCCCCATGAGCTTGCCCACGTCCTGTGGAGCCACCAGAGACCTCACCAAGGTAGTGAGCACGTGCTTTACCTAAATTGTGAAAACAGACAGTTGACCAAATCCACAATTTTTGTCTGCACACTTATCCAACATGCTTTTGATGGCTCTGTTTCCCCGTACTGAAACTTTGTAGCATTGGAAAACTCTTGTGGTGAAAAATTCTTCCTTCAAGTGTTTGCATCTCTGCAAAGTAAATATTTAGGAAAATAGTGTAGCTCTTTCACAGTCGACATCTCATCCTTTACAGCATCAGAGGCACAAATCTGTTTGTGTGCCCAGCTCTACCGAGTTCACAGAATCATGGAATGGTTTGGGTTGGAAGAGACCTTAGAGAACATCTTGTTCCAGCTCTCCTGCCGTGGGCAGGGACACCTTCCACTAAGCCAGGTTGCTTGGAGCTCCCTTCCAGCCTGGCCTTGAACACTTTCAGGGATGGGGCAGCCACAACTTCTCTGAGTAACCTGTTCCAGGCAGGAACCAGTGGAAAAAGAAACCCCTCCCCAGCTGGAGCAGAGGACACTGCAGCCTGTGCAACCTGTCACACAGCGTCCGAGGCAGGAAGGCCCTTTCCATTAAGTAAAAGATCTTCTGCAGGAAAACCAGAACAATGGAAAACCAAAGTAGCTTTCAGCTCTCCCAGCAGATTTGGGAACGAACTGAAGGAGGAGCAGTGCTGGCTCGGTGCCACAGCTCTGCAGGCAGTGGGGGTGAAGAAGCTGTGATAACGTGTCTCCTCGGCTGAGTCTTTAAAAATAAGACATTCGCTTTCTTGTTGTTTTTTTTCAAGCATTACATAAAAGTTCCCCTTAGAAGGCCAAAGGCAGCTGTTTTCTTAGGCCGAGGAAGTCATGAAGAGGCAAAGCAGGCAAAAACATCAGATAAGTCTGGATAAAAAACTTGGCTAACCTATTTTTCCCCCCTCCTGAACAGCCAAGTTCGAAGCACTCTGCAGAGCTCTGCCTGGGAGGAAAAGCAGAGCCAACCACTGAAAAATGATATCTGAGCGCTGGTGAGGACCACAGCTCTCCCTGCCTCCGTGCGGGAACTCCTGAGGTTCCGTTCCCTGTGGTGGGAGTACTTCTCCTCTCATCCAGGCAACCCAGAGACCTTCTAAGTAACAAGCAGATAACTTTAGGTAACAAGACATCTCCCAGTTAAGAAACAGTAGGAAATGGCCTCAAGTTGTGCCAGGGGAGATTTAGGTTGAATATTAGGAAAAATTTCTTCACTGAAAGGGTGGTCAGGCATTGGAACAGGCTGCCCAGGGAAGTGTTGAGTCACCTTTAAATATCCCTGGAGATGTTTAAAAGATGTGTAGATGTGACACTTGGGGACATGGTTTAGTGGTGAGCTTGGCAGTGCTGGGTTAATGGTTGGACTCGATGGTCTTAGAGGGCTTTTCCAACCTGAACAAACCTATGATTCTAAAAAGCCTTGACCCCTGGCAGCTCTAACACGGCATGTGGATCTTGACAAAATGAAGCTTGTGATAGACACTGGAGGTCCCCGTCCCACAGGGAGAGGACAAGCCACTGTCACCTGCAGAGAGGGTCTTGTCCCCAGACAGCATGACAGGAACTTTATCCCTCCCCGGGGCTCTGGACATCCGCCCTTTTGTTTCCCCCTGGGGATCCTGGGAGAGAACAAGGTCCACCTGAAAGCTCCAGGGCTTGCCGGCTTTGGGGTTTTGCACTTTGCAGTTGTAGCGCCTTGTCACAAGGTGGCAGGGACGTGACACTGCCTGGCACGCTTCCGTCATCACTGCTCCTCAAATCCTCACTGCTTTCCTTCTTACCCAAAAGCATATGCATTTATCAGCAATCTTCCATCTTTTCTTTAAAACTGTCCTTGGGAGAGTTCAAAAGGAGGGTAATTAGTTATTTCAAAGCTTAAATATTTTACCTGTTTGCACTAAAGAAAAAAAAGGAAAGAAGCTGCTTTGCTTCCTTCTGCCTGGAAGTCATGGTGATGTGGGGAAGTGAGGAAGGGGTGGCCTGGGTCAGCCTCTGCTGAGCCTCGGCTCTGGCTGCTGCTGCTTTCAGGTTCAACCCAAAAGCTGTGATTATTAAAAAGCAGGCAGCCCTTCTGTCCTGAGTTACAGGGATCATTTCTTCCTAAATAATTGAAGATGGTAAATTATTCTTGTAACTTCAAAAGAAAAATATATATACACCTCTCTCTCTCTCTCTCTCTCTCTCTCTCTATATATATATATATATATATATATATGTTTCATTTAATGCAAAAGAAAATCTCAGCAATATTATATTTGCTCTGGCTTCATAGTGGATGCTTAACTTTGGCCTTCTGGAAGGAAATGTCTGTACATTTATAGGACCAATTCCCTTCATTTTAGGTGCTTCCAACAGTAATCTTTTACCCTTTCACATGCTAGGAGTTTTGTGATTTTACTACTCTGCTCTCTCAAGGGTGTTGCAGGCTGTGTGGCAAGGAGTGAAACCTTTGTCATTGCTCATCAAACATTTTCTTGCAGAATTCTACCTGCAGTGATAAAATTAGATTTGTGTTAATAAGCTGCTAATAAGCACCAGGTAATTATTTAGTTTATCTCTAGAGGCCCAGCTGATCGTTGTCTCCTTGTGCTTGTTTGCCTGGCAGTCTGTAGGGACAGGGGATTTTCAGGTTTTTTAATCTGCTGTACATGCAGGGAGAGATTACTCAGCTGTCACTCTGCAGAAAACATCCCTATCATGCAGCAGGAGGTATCCATAACAAATTGCTGACATCCAAATTCAGCCCTGTACAAATGGATGTGTAAGATGCCTGCTGCTCCCCACGTCGAAAACAGACCATGGAGGCTCAAAGGCATTGACACAGCAGAAGGAAACGAGCAGAAAATTACCCAAGTAGAGCAGGTACCATTAGAAAATAATTATTTCTGAGCTGCTGTTCACTGTTCACAAATATTTCCCGTTTTCAGCACAATGCAGTGGCCTGAGAAAGGATTTTTGTGGGTCAGTTGGATGTGTTTCCTGCTTCATACTGAGGCTCTGAGATGGACCCAAGGTTTACACTTCGATTTCTGCGAACAGAAAGTAATCAGAAATTTTTCCAGCTCTCAAAAGCACAGACCCACAGAACCAAGTAAGTCTGAACTCCTACATGCTTATTTATGAACCTTGAGCTAAGTGATGAGTGTGTATATTCCCTTGCAAGCTTGCAGTTTATTTCAATACACATAAGGAAACCAGTTCGAAGTTCAAGGCAGGCTCTTAGTTGAGAGGGAGGGAGGAAAATCCTTTCTTAACATGTGGCAATTCATCTGTGGAACTTGTCACTGCAGAGCAGTGTCAAGACTGAAAATGTAATAAGATGTAGATTGAAATGGAGAAGCTGACAGGTGACAAGAGCATCTAATGCACAAGTGCACAAATAGATGCTTTTTGATTTGGTTTAAACTCAAAGTTTATAGAATTTGGGAATGAGGTGGCCTTTCTATCTCCTGAAATAAAAGCTAGGTGAACCTCACGATGAATTGGTTTCAGATCAGCCCGTCAGGGTGTTTTGTTTTGAGAAAGTAGGGACTCTTCCTTCGATTGTTTTGTGCTGTTTTCTAACCAAGGAATTTGACAGGGGCTTGTGCAGTGTTTCAACTGAAGTAAATAAATGTTTTCCAGTGAATGCATTATTAGACTAAAAAGTTCCATTTGTCTTCAGTACAGCTTGATCATACTGAAGGGGAAAATATAAAATAGAAAGAGCTGTTGGATTGCCCCAAGCTTCCACAGTTGGTAGTTAGGTTAAACTGGTACAGAAGTAAGTTCATTCTGCCTTAGGGAAATGCCTTTCATCATCCTTTACCTTCAGGAACAAGGAATTGGATGTAAAATATCCATTCCCAACTGCCACTTCTCATGTTGCCAAGACTGCTGTGTAATACTCCTTGTGGGCACCTCCTGGGTGTCTCTGTTTTGTCTCTTCTTTTGGCAGCTTTTGGTCACAGCTCTCAAAAGTCCCCAGGTTCAAGGTTAAACACCTTCAAGTCAGGTGTTTAACATCAAACTGAACTTCCATGAGAAAATCCATCCCAGCGCTGAATCTCCTGCTAGGGAACAGCCTCCAGGTCTCATACAGGGCTCTCAAAGGTGATTTAAGCTCGTGACAAATGCACATTTGGGCAGAACAGCCCACCACACCTCCTGGAACAACATCAAAGAAATTGCCAGGGACAAGCAAAGATCTGCTAAATCTCCATCTTTCGTGATGTTTTGCTTTTTAGTTTTGACCATGACAAACTCCTCCAATTGACTGCAGATTTCTCACCAGCCTGGACATGCTGGGGTAATCCTGGAGGAAAATCTGTCCTTTTACCAAATTCCTACTCTTTGCAGCCAGGCTTGAATGCCGAGACCTGAACTTTATGTCAGAGCCTGTGTGATCTGTTAGTCAGGACAATTGATATTTGAAACACTGTGCTAAGCTATCACCAACCACATTTTTCTCTGGTTCCTGGGAATGCTGCTTCTCTGGCTGTTCACAGCCATAGCAACTGGAAAACAGACTCTGTAGGAGAAAGAGCATCAAAGAATCCCCTCCGACAGTAAAAGGGAGAGGAAAAAACATATGATACAGAAAAGAAAGGAGCTATTCAGGGTCAGGCTCACATCCAGTTTTGAGGGAGAGATTTTCCACTAGAGGACAGAGATAGTCCAGGGTAAGAATAACAACAAAGTCCATAACACGATTTGCCTTGGTGCTTTCTACCATAAGCCTTTTTTTTTTTTTCTTTCCCCACACTTGCCTCCCACCCATAATTTCACACATCAGATTTTTGCAGGTACCAGAGCAGCTGAGAATCCTGCTGGGAAGTTCAGTGCCCTGGACAGACAGACGGCTGTGCTGGGTGTGTTTATTTCCACAGAACAGCTTGTTAGTTTAACAAAGACAGAGAGAAAAACATGTCACATCCAACCACCGTGTGTCTGTAGCACATTGAGGGGTATCTCATTGCTCTTTTCCATTGGCACTATAGGTTTAGCCCATAGCTCTATTTTCACACTCCTAAAGCTACGTTAAAATCATCAAGGGGTCAGCCACGAGCCTGCACTACTAAGTTCATCTTTAAACACAGGCTGTCTTGTCTCCTCCATCCCATAAGGATGGCAAAAGCACCTCTAACAGCAACCCACTGTTTGTGTGTGCAGAATGCAGGAATGGGCACCAACAAAAATAAAGGTTCAGAAAATAAAAATGCGCTTTTTGTTGGAGATCCTGTTGCCAAGTCCCAGCCTACAGCTGTTTGCAGCTGAGAAGTGAAACTCTGATGATACAGTCTGTGATAGAAAAACTGTCAGACCTTCCATTTTAGCCACTTTTGTTCACCCTATACCAAACACAGTAATGTATCTGCTCCATTTAGAGAAGGCATTGCCTGAGCCATTTTCTTTCAGGTATTAAAAGAGGAAAAGTGGGAGTGTGCAGGGCCTGGCTCAGCAGACCCCAGGCTTTAGGCAGCTGTAATTCAGCACTTCAGCAGATCACAGCAGTGCCATGTTAAATCCGGATGTGGCTGGAGTTTGGGCTTCAGAAGCTGGGGATGGGCATGGAGAGAGGGATGGATGGAGGGATGTTGGGCAGCATGATGAGGGCAGGTCTGTTGCCATCACGGAGATGTCAGCATGAGCCTGGTTTAGAGTCACACCTGCTGCACCATTGCCAATATTCTCTGTCCCTCAGAGGGTGGGTATATCCAGGCTGAATTGCTCTCTGTTGAAATCCTCACATGCCTTATAATTCCTCTGAACTGACACTTGGCTTTTTTTCTACCAATCTTCCTCTGTGCTTTCATATTTGCCCTGAGTCATCTCACCTGGATGCTCTTCAGAAGAGATGCACGCTCCATACAGCCAAACAAGGCTGTGGAGAACACAGGAATTTTATAACCACAGGGAGTGGCACACTCAGCCCTCTGCCAGTGTGGTAGAAGGTGGCACAGCCATGTCAGACCCACCAGGCAGTGTTTTACACCAAACCCTTGGCCTTTCAACAAACTCGGTGCCCCGTGGGGTGGTTCAGTGGTGGAGTCACAATCAGCTCAGGCTTTGGGTGAGGAACGTGGTGGGAATGGGACCACTGACCTGAGCCTTAGGAGCAGCAGTAGCTGCCTGTTTTTTTAGGCTCCCATCATCTGAGGACGAGTCCAGCCATGGGCAACATTGCAGGACAGGTATGGAAGGAATTTACTTGGGCATTGTTGCGTTGATTGTGTTATTGAAGCCAAGCACCTTTTCTCCTTTCCTGCTTGGATTTTCACAGCTGTTATAGGAAAAATATTGGGGTTTTTTCACAGGCGGGGAAACTGGGACATAGAGATTTCTCTGCCGAATGACAGGATCTTACACCACCCCCCCAGCCCCACAGGCTGAAGCAGCCCTGTAGCAGCAAGGTAAGCTCAGGGGTGCGTGGGGCCAAGAGCACAAACATGTGCTCAGCATCTCTGCTCTGTGAGCAGTGTTTCGTCTGGGCTGTTCTGCTGTTGCTGAATTAGTCTTCTCTTTCTTTCAGTTTTAATTAGAAAGCCTGGTGGGAAAAGCTCTGCAGGAGCTCCAGTCACAGTTGGCTGGTCCCCTGGCTGGGTGAGCTGGGACCTGGCTGAGGGCAGGACCTGCTTGCAAGGAGGGGCTGCCAAGATTGAGCTGAGAGGTCTGTTTTGGAGGCTCTGCTCTTACCCAGGCTGTGCTTCAGCCAGAAATGAAAGATAAAACCTGGGGGGAGTTGCTGCTTTGGGTGTTCTGTGTGATTTCTAGCCTTTATATGAGAAAATCTAATATCACATTTCTTAAAAAAAAAATCAAAATCTAATGTAATACTTTGTTCATGCATGGGGGGCAGTTGAGAAAGGCTGCTCCTCGGCTTTTATCCGTGGGTTTTTCTGGTAGTGCTGCAGGCCAGGTACTGGCTGTGCTCAGCACTGTGGGATAGCCTGGCTGTGGTTCTGTACCAGCTGGAGCGTGTGGAATCCGTGTTGACCGACGCCTGCACGGCTTCATCCTTGTTTCTGGCTGTGAGTTGTGTCATGTGCCTTCTCCCAAACACCTCGCTGCTGTCACAGCTCAGCGTTTGCCATATGTCACAGCCCCGTGCCTGAAGGTATGTGTTCCTTAGGCTGCCTGGCCTTGACTGGGATGTGTTTGGAGACTTGCCTGTCTGTCCTCCTGAGGGGCTTGGGCACCTCTCTCCAAGACAGATGGATTTTGGGTGCTTTTATTCTGACAACCCACAGTCAGTGACAATTCTAATGCAAATATTTATTGAGTGTCCTTACACAGTCAACAAATGCTCACCCAAGGAACCCTGAATTACACCGAACCTGTTGTGTCATTTCACCTCAAGTATTCCTACTGCTAACAAGAGGCCTGACCAAACCCAGTAAAAGAATATTTGCCCCAGCAAAGGCTGCCAAGTGCTGCAGAGGTACCAGGGCAGCAGTAAGGCAGCTCTGCACATGCACATATTTCTCCTCCCCTGCAGCCAGAATGTTTTACAAACCACTTCCTTAAAAAGAAATATATATTTGACATAAGGAAAATTACTTCAACTCAGGTTAGCAAAATATTTATTTTGTAAGTTGGAATATACACAAACCCCAGTGAAGTTACTTTCTTTTGACCTTAATTTTGAAGTCACTGGTTCAATGCAGTGCTTTACAGAAGGACCTCAGGCTTGCTCACCTTGTTTTAACACAAGGAAAGGTGGAGAGGTCAAGCAACTTGCCCAAAAACCCTCTCAGTGTCCACACCAAGGTTATCTGCATCCATATGGGTTCAGCAGCATCTAACACTGTTTCCCCTTCGTTCAGGTGCCTTTTGTAGGAGGGAATTCTATCTTGTAGCTAAAGGATACAGGGCTGTACCTTGTCTTTCAAGACAGTATTTGTGTTCCACATCGGGCTGCAAGAAGTGTTTCCAGCAACATTTGAGACTACAGTTTGGATCCCAGTGTGGTTTGAGGTCTGCTATACATTAGAAGCTCAGGTCTGTGACTGCACAGCAGGTTTCATGGGAAAACATTTCTAAGTATTTTTCTTTCCCTTCTGAAAACTTCCTTAGGAAGAAGCTACTACTAATT